TATGCACTCACTCTCGTGCAAGGTGGATGCCTTCTCTCCCTCTCCTGTTCTTGACCTGCTTTTTTAACTCTCCGTCTGTGTATCGGAGCTCCTATTACACATCTTCCTAAACGAAAACTACTGTCATGGATCTGGTCAGCTGGACTTTCAACCCTATCGACAAAATCTTTTCAACAAAGCAACAAGGTCCTGGAGAGCTCTCATGCCTCGTTGAGACTCACGTGGCAGGATACGTCATGGATCCATGGGACGTTTGGCAGCTGATCTGTCTTTCTGTTTTGTCTCAGGTGGACGCCGAACATGTTTATGTAATTGGATTCATGATAGCAGGGTTTCTGCTTTCTGTCATCGGCGGATTCCTATGTCTTTGACTATTAAGGAAGACGGCGGCATTCGTTTTGGCAATGGCAAAACTGCCGAGTCTGTGTGAAGGTTTGATTCGTGCTTCGAGTACTCAAAATCAGCTGATTTATGAGCTTACAATGGCGGCTTATCTGAATCTGACTCCCCTGGTTGGCCTCGAAAACAGGCAGACTTATCAAACTTCTCCTGAGATATGTGTAAACTAAGGAAAAGCTTAGTCTATTGCCCCCCCCCCCCCCCCCCCCCCGGAGAACTTCTGCAAAGGCTTACAGGACTATGGTCTATCTGAAAGTGCTTCATGGACAAATCTCACTGTCTTGCCATCAAATACATATGTAATGTGTTTATAAATGTGCTTGCTGGCAGAGTTTTTGATGTCTTAAATCGTGTCCTGATAGGACAAGGTGTGATGAGATCTTTTTTTGTAATGCCACTATCCTATCCTCATGGCTTTTTCCCCTTTTCTATCTAAAAGTTTTCTGAAAAAGGATAAGGGGCCGCACTCCAGTAGCAGCAGCAACATTCACGACTGTACGAAAATAGTCTCACTGGTACAATGATGATAAAGCTTATTCTGATTCTGATTTTTAAAAAAAATAACACAAGCACCCAGACCGGGGGGGGGGGGGGGGGGAATGAAATAAAGCACATGTTGAAAGGTCATGTGACTACAAGTGCGCCTGGATTTTTCTTCTACAAAACCATGTTGTAATGAATGCGGTACGCTGATCAGCTTTGCCTTGCTGAAGTTTAAAAGGCGTTCCCTGAAAAAGACTGGAACGGAGCATACCTTGTTCTAAAGTCTGTATCTTCTTTTCCACATTGAAAATGCCTTTCCAGATGTGTAAACTGCTCAAAACATAGGCACTAATGCACCCCTATACAATCAGAGAGGCATTTTTTTTCTTATTGTATGCTGATAATAGGCCAAATGCTGCCTCTCCTTTTTAGCATGATAGACGTGGCGTTTGTGGTTTTAATAGAAAGAAAAATATGAAATTTGGATCCGTCTGATGTCAGAACAGTTCTCCACTTTGTCTAAGTCAATTTGAGATGAGCTCTAAAATGTAATTTCTGCAGTTTCTAATTCATACCACTTGTTCCAAATGTTTACAAGATTTTGTTTTTGTTTCACAGACCTCCAACACGCTCACATGGGCTTTGTACCAGCTGTCCAGGAACCCTCAAATCCAGGACAGACTTTATGAAGAAGTGTCCTCAATGGTACCAGAAAACCAGATCCCCTCTGCTGCAGAGGTCACCCAAATGCCATATTTACGGGCTGTCATCAAGGAAACTCTCAGGTATGATTGTTTGGAGAAATTATGTTTTATGAAAAGAAAGGCAGAAAGATCTAGATTAAAATGTTTACTGCGTCCAAAATAAACATTTACGTATGTTGCAGGATGTATCCAGTGGTTTCTTTCAATGCAAGAATCATGATGGAAAAACCAACAACAGTTGGTGGATATCAGTTTCCAAAGAATGTAGGTTTGTTTATTTTTTACGTTATTTTTATTCGTAAAAAATGTACGATTTTATGCATTATTATACCTTATGTACTTATTTGGTGTGAGAACTTGAATACAGGATTTACTTTGAATTTAACAGGTTACAAAGTCAAAAATTAAATCCATAAAAAGTTTTTCCTGACCTATACGAAATGGTTAAGTTTCATCAAGTTTACTTCAGTACTGTAGTTTACTTTGAGATACTAGTATGCACTCAGTGTAAAGCACTGAATCTCCCAAAATCTACACGAAAACTTAAGTCATGTGATTGACCTGCATGAAGTTATTATTAGTAATTATTATTACATTATAGTTATTAGTATTATTTTTCATTCTTTAATGTTTTTGTTTTGGCAGACTACTTTCACCTTCTGTCACTATGCCATCAGTCACAACGAGAACACCTTCCCTCAGTCGTTCACCTTTAAACCGGAGCGGTGGCTCCGTGACGGCCGCCAGAAGCCGAACCCATTCGGCTCCATTCCATTCGGCTTCGGCGTGAGAGCCTGCGTTGGGCGCAGGGTTGCTGAGCTTGAGATGTATTTGCTTCTCTTTCAGGTAAATGCAAAATAAACAACAACCTGTGGGAAATAAGGATAAGCTCTCAGATTTTAGTTCTGGACTCAGCTGAAATGGTTCTCAAATCTGTTTCCACGATAGAACCAAACACAGACGACCTCAGGTCGTTCACACCTGAACAAGACAGTTCAGCCAACACGCTATAAAATATTTTACTTTTAAGACGTTTTAAATGTTGTTTTTCTCACAGATACTTTTTTTCTGTTTTAAAATCTAATTTTATTTTTAATAAACACATCCATGGGTCAGAATGAGCTCATCTTCTGTCCGAATGTTAACTGGGCCACCAGTTGAATAGCCTGAAGCAGGGGTTTCCAAACATTTTAGCCCATAAAACACCAGCATCAGAGACCCCAACAACATCTGGATGAAGTGTACAAATGATGCTTTGAGCCAAAAAAAAACAAACATACAAGAACACAATGGCAGCACAAACACAATTTAATTTATTTTAAAATAGCTTTCTAAAATTAAGCCATAAGCTACAACACACTGAAAGGTTTCACAGAGACGGTCGTGAGTTGTTGCCGATTTTGGCTCATTTAATAGATTTAATACCATCTGGTTTCTGATTCTGCTTGGTAAGTTAAAACGAAGAGGTAAAAAAAGTAAATGAGAAACGTACATTTTCTGCAAAAATGCACCTTGAACGCTGGGCACTGAATCTGACTGAAGTTTCCTAAAAACGCTAAAAAAAGAGTTTTTGAACATCAACGTTCATGCTCAACAATCCAGGAAAAAAACCCAACAAAGTTCAATGAGGTCATCTGGACGGTTTCTTTTTGTTGAAATGTTTCGTCCTTCATCCAAAGGACTTCATCAGTCCAAAGAGCCACAACAAACTCGGTCCCACAAGCAGCACACTCACATAGTAGACCAACCAGTTTGATGGTGATAAGATAGTTTCTGGAGTCCACCCTCTCCCCCGTCGACTCCTCTGAGGCAGCCATGGCGAAAGTGGTTCAAAAGATTGAGTCGATGAAGTTAAAATCAGGAGAACAGAATGTAAAACGGAGCAAAACAGAAGCTAAAAGGAGCAGAAGAGTAGCCAAAAGGAGCTGAATAAAGAAACAAAACTGAAGCTAAATGCTAAAAATACCCAACTGTAGCTTTAAGCTAAAGTTAGCAATATTAAAGCTTACAGCCAAACTTAGCAAAACAGTAATTAAAAGCTAAAAAGGAGCGCAAAAAAAGCAAAAATAGAGCACACATGCTTAACCCTGCTGCCCTTTGGGTCAAACTGAGCCTCAAAGCTGTTCTAAACTGAAACCACAAGGGTCATTTTGACCCAAGAGCAGCAGGCGGGTTAGGAAACCATAACAGAGAAACTGCAGTGTGAACGCTGACTCAGCTTCCAGACAACAAAAGACCTAGCATTCCTTGAAGGGATGAATATCGCCCGCCACCTTTTGCGTCAGGAATTCAGACTGAAATCATTTTATGATGAGAAACAAAGGTATAAATGTAAATGTTTGGCCTAAACTCTGAAAATACACTCTCGTGACCTTGTGCCTGGAGTATGTATTTTAAATGACTTTCAGCTACTACCACGTTAAATTCCAGGTCAGTATCTTCCCTGAGTCATTTTTTGTGTTTGCTAGGATCACTTTGCCGTGGTGGCCATCTTAGACTGCGTTCACTTTTAGAGCTAATCAGTTGTAGATCCCAACCCAAAGATAATTTCTTGTGTTTTTGTCCTTCCTTTCCTCAGCTTATTCGTCAGTTTGAATTGAAACCAGGCCCCAGGACAGGAGAGATTAAAAGCATCAACCGGACGGTTCTGGTTCCAGACCAACAAGTGGACCTGCACTTTGTGGACAGAAGATGAAGAAATTCAAATTCACTCACTTTTACACATTAGACTGAGCTTGGTATTGGTTTTGCCTGCTGCTGGGCAATAATGTTTTGGCTAATGCCTGTGTATTATTGTCTGTACCGTTAGCAAAATATCTCATGAATCACTGGGCAGAGTTAAATGAAACTTTCATAAAGCAATCACTGTGTTGACCTTGTGTTGTTATATTTGTCCATGAAACCTAATGAACCCTAAATTTAATGCTTTTGAACACAGACAAGACTGAGGTTTTAGTTTTTGGACCTGAGCATCTTAGGAATTAAATTGTCTTTCTTCCTCCTTGGATGGCATTAATCTGTCCTCCAGCTCTAATGTTAAAAATCTTGGTGTTATTTTTTATCAGGACATGTCTTTTATACCCCACATTAAAAATGTTACTAGAACCGCCTTCTTCCACCTGCGTAATATCACTAAAATTAGAAACATCTAAAAATGATGCAGAAAAACTGGTTCATGCATTTGTTACGTCTAGACTGGACTATTGCAATGGTTTGTTATCTGAGTGTCCAAATACTTTAAAATGTCTTCAGTTGATCCAAAATGCTGCTGCCAGAGTCTTAACTGGAGTTAGTGGGAGAGATCATATTTCTCCAGTTTTAGCTTCTCTCCACTGGCTCCCTGTCAAATCCAGAATTGAATTCAAAATCTTACTTCTAACCTACAAAGCCCTCAACAACCTAGCTCCATCTTATATTTGAGATCTTATTGTTCCATATTTTTGTAGTGGACTAGGCCTACGTCGAAACTAAGTCTAAGGTCAAAACTCTTGACCTTTAGAACCTTGTGGGACAGAAGCTGTCATTTCATGTATTTGACTCCATAAATACAGGTTCACCCATCCTGAGACTTTCTTTCTTGAAGATTCAAGTGAAAAGAACACTCTCTTTTTATTATCATTACTATCTTACAAATGTTGATAATCAAAGTGTCTTAGTTCAAACCATTTTAGATGTTGCAGTGAACTAATCAATTTTATTAACTGAGTAATGATTTTATTCTCATGTTAAAAGCTGTGCAGAGTAATTATGCATTTTTCTGATTTCTGCTTTTGAATGAGCAAGTGTGTGCGTTTACAAGGTTACAGTCAAACGAAAAACAAGTTGTTATGTTAAAACTGTCATGTTTTAGAATCCTCTCAGACGTAAATAGAGATGTTTTGCACCTGTTTCTTAAGGCACGCCAAAACAGAACCCTCTCGGTCTGTGAGAACATTTCTGAGCTGTCTCATAACAATTCTCGCTGTCTCTAACCTCTTACGTCACAAAAACACACCCCTTCTGGTCGTTTCTGACCAATGAAAAATCCCAAAAGTGAACCGGGAAAGAGTCTTTAAAATGTCAGTACTTCCTGGTCTACACAGACTCTACAGGAACTCACAGGGACACGGAGAGACACACAGGTACTCAGAGTTGGAGAGTTGTCAGACTTCTAGAGTTCTGTGGGAGTTCTGTAAACTACACGAGAGCTAAAGTCCTGATGGAGTGCTGTTGGAGTTCCTGACATGACAACGAAGCTCTTCCGAGTTCCATGGGATTATAACATTTTCCACTGAGGTGAATATGTGTCGAACAGAGCCTCGCCATTACTCCGGACGAGTAACAGCATCCTACTGAGACGCTGAAAGGGTGCGTTAAACGGAATCTCACCTGAGACATCTCCAGGTAAAGGAGCCGATTTCATCACCTAAGTGTACTGTAAAGAAAAGCTGAAGAAAGCCGGAGAGTGTCGATTCTGGAGAACACTTAATTTCCCTCACATTCAATCTTACTCCCTTTAAACTTCTTCCCATCTTTAAACTTTTCTATCAAGTAGAAATTCTTCCAGATATTTAGAAATGTCTGTGTAAAGTGCTTACCCACATTCATGTGGGTAAAAGATCATAGTTGTACAGTTATAAATGTTTGTTGGTGCAGCAACGGAGAAATCATGGCCGTATGATTTTTCCTGATTGATTGCTTTGTTGTTATTTTCATAATTTGCCAAATTAATGTAAATGTTTGATGTTAAATTTGATTCTGTAAATAAATGACCGCATTCATTTTGATGGGTCAAATTTAAATGACGTCTCCCGTTTGCATTTCCTTAAATTCAATGCACGTTTTATTCAGTCCAGAAAAATGAGGAACTCGCGTTAAATGATGAATATATCCCAGCATCTGTTCATCTACAATTGGTGGCCCGTATGTGTTCATAAATGGACTGTAACTAGTGTGCTAATTGATTTTCATGTTGGCATGTGTTATAAAATAACAGTTGAACCGTGCGTCTTTACGCAGCCGGAGCTGCGCGCTTGGAGCTGCACCGCCTGAAGCGAAATGCTGCATGTTTTTAAGCGTGTTGGTCTGTGATGCTCAGAAAGCTCACAGAGAAGCTGCAATTGAGTCACAAGTCTTTATAAAGCTGAATTGTACGTCTGTATGTGTAACTTAAGCTGGCTTTGAGCTGTGGAAACGCTTCATTCTGTTTAAACTGTGTTCCGGACGCTTCTGGTCCGCTTCGGTTCTGTGGTTCCGACTCGGTTCTGGAGCTTCGAACGAGTTGTTTTAAATAGCTAGAAAGACGTTTTGTCACGGAGCGCCGTTCTCTGTGCAGCTCAGGGGGTTGTTTCGTTACAATTTTTAACAGAAAAAGTGCATTTTGATGGTTTAAAAGACGAAAAAGTGACGAACTATTTTACGCTAATCTAACTTGCTAGCTGGGGAATACGCTTCGTGGTTGGTTGTTTGCTGCTGTGGAAAGCTCTGATTTGCTGAGAAAGGTTGACTGACGTCACCTCCCCTCACCCCTACGCTGCGTCATTGGTTGAGAAAGACCGTGTGTAACGTTCTGATTGGATGAGGGAAGTGTCAATCACGTCGCCCGGAAATGAAGACTCGTTTTCATAGGGAATAAAATCTGCTTTTTAACGCTGGAAAGCGCATTAAAGCTGTGTTCTGAAACGCTGTTTACATTCATTCGAAGCATATTCGCTGAAAGTTCGCCACGTTTGAGTTTAAAGACCGTCATAAAATGATGCTTTTGAACTACGCTAGCGATGCTAAATTTTAAGCTAACAAGCTAATGACCGGGTGGAGGACGTGTCACGTCACTTCCCCCAAGTCGGAAATGAGCTTTACCGTGCTTAAATTCGCTAAATACGGCTGCGATTTTGTTCCACAAAATTCATGTTTCATGATATAAGGTCTGATTGGAAAAATTTTGCCACGTTTGTGTAAAAAATCCGTTCAGAAGTGTTGGTTTTCACCGAAGCAAGCCGATGCTAATTTTAGCTAACAAGCTAACGACCGGACGCCACAGGAAGTTATAGCGCCCCTAGTGGACGACACAAACAGTGCCTGAGTTAAAATTGTTAAGGTTCTGCTGACATCTTGTGGAGAAGACGTGGGATCACAGGTTTTCACTTCGTTTTTAGGTGAAGAGTGACATTAAACGTTTTTATTTTCCAGAAAAGCAATTTTGGAGTTAAAAACTTCCTCAAAGCTGAATATACACTGTTATCTTGCATTCTAAAAGTTATGAAGGTATTTATGCTGAGAGCTTTTACCAAAAAATTTTATTCACTGATAAATCCTTAAAACAGGTCCATAATAAAATTAGAAACTTTTTATAAAACAGATACAGTTACAAATATTCACGGAGTTGAACAGTTTACTCATTTTGCTTGAAGGATAATACACGTTTAATTGCAAAATCACTAAATAAGAGTAAGCTTATCAGGAAAAAGAGATTTTCTGATTTTATTTTACCACCTAAACATTTACATCTACTATTTAATTTCTAAATAGCAGATAATGGCGGACGAAGAGGTAAACACTGACCCCTCACAATCCGAGGATGTGGTCCAGACAGCCTTACACATTTTGACAAATTCAATTCTTGGCAAAACATTGGAGGAATTGCATGACCTTGATGACGATCAAAGACATGAGGAGCTGCAGAGTTTATCAAGAGCAGCTACAGTGAAGGAGGACGCAAAATCAAGCCGCATACGGTTAGCAAAAATCTCTCTGCTTCTGAAGGCGGAATTAGACCGTTTGGTGGTAGAAAAGGGCGTGCTTTTCAACGGATATAAGTCTGAAAAAGAGAGGTGTGACGAATTGATAAGTGAATCTGAGTTGCTGAAACAAAAGATTCAAACTGATAAGGACCTCTCAAAGAGAGAGCTGTCAGAACAGGCTC